GGATCAGTGGTGGTGGAAAATGGGCACTGGTGGAGGGATGGGTACTTGATCATTGTACAACGGAAACCCAAGCACAAAAATTTGTAAGTCTACAACTGTACCTCATGGTGTTTCACTAATAAAAAAAAGTTAAAAAAAATAATGTCTGAGTTGCAACTTCAGGCTGGTCTTAAATCTGGGCTGGGGTCTTTTTAAAAATTATATATATGTACATATATTATTGAAGCACTGAGATAGAAATATTATTCAATGATATACTATTTAGTTCATGATTACCTTTCAGTCATACATCTGTCGCTCCAACACCCATCTCTCTACCACTGCACATTTCACAGTAACAGTGTCCCCAATTTCCCTCCCATCACCCTTCACCCCACCCCCAACTCGTCTCTATGGCAGGCACTTCTCTGTCTGTCTGTCTCTGTCCTTTTGGGCATTATGGTTCGCAGTACAGATCCTGAATGGTTGTCTTGTATATCCCTTTATCTACTTTTAACTCGGAGTTATTTCCCAGCATGATCATCTCCAACTATTATTGTCATACTGGTCCCTTCTCTATCTTACTTCCTCTCCACCCCACACACACTTGTGGTAGATTCCTACCACTGACCAGTTCTCCCAGCTCTTGTTTTCCCTGGCCATGGATATCTGTCTTCTACTATATATACTTATGTATACCACAAATGAACGCAGTCATTCTATATCTGTACCTTTCCTTCTGATTCATTTCACTTAGCATGATACTCTCCATGTCCATCCATTTATAAGCAAATTTCATCACTTCATTTTTCCTAACCTATGTATAGACGTGCCATAGTTTCTTTATCCAGTCGTCTGTTCTTGAGCACTCAGGTTGTTTCCAGGTTCTGGCTATTGTGAATGGTGTGTGCCAGTCTCTGAGGTGTGAGATGATATCTAATTGTTGCTTTGATTTGCATCTCTCTGATGATTAATTAGGAAGAGCATTTTTTCATGTACCTTTTAACATTTGAATTTCTTCTTTGAGGAAGTTTCTGTTCATTTCTTCTCCCGATTCATTGGGAGGGTAGGGTAGATTGTTTTTTTCTTGTAAAGTTCTACCAGGGCCTTGAATATCTTTGATGTTAACCCACGATTAAAAGGGTATTGTGTGTATAACTGTTCCTATTTCATAGGCTGTCTTTGTTCCTTGGTCACTGTTTCTTCTGAAGGCTCACAAGTTTCTCAGTTTAATGTATTCCGATTTGCTTACCTTTGCTTCCACTTGCTTGTTAAGTGGTATTTCATCTTTGTAGATACATTTAGCTTCAATATTGTGGGGGGTTTTGCCTACATTTTCTTCCATGTACCTTATGGAATCAGATCTGATGAGGTCTTTAATCCATTATGACTGAATTTTGTGTAGGCATTAGCTAGAGGCCTGAGTCCAGTTTTTTGCATGTTGCTATCCAGTTTTGCCAGCACCACTTGGTAAAGGGGCTTTTCTTGCTCCACTTCATATTTCTTGCTCCCTTATCAAAGATAAAATGATCATTTATTTGAGGGTATGTGTCAGAATATTCAACCCTATTTCAATCCTATTAGTAGTTGTTTTAAGTATTTTTCCGGTCCCTCTTGGGTATGTATATATACGTTTAGGAGTGTAATTTCTTTTAATGTATGTGTCCTTTGATTATTAAAATTGGCCTACACTGTCCCTTCTAATCTTTTTCAGCCTGAAATCTACATTGTCAGATATTAGTAAGGCCACCCACGCTTTTTTGATGGAGTTGTTTGTTTGAAGAATTATTTTCCAGCCTTTGTCTTTGAGTCTGTGTTTGCTCTGACTGTTCAAATATGTTTCTTTTAGGCAGCAGAATATTGGATTCAGTTTTTAAAATCCACTTTGCCACTCAGTCTCTCTTAATTGGAGCATTTAGACCCTTGACGCTGAGAGATTATTGTCATGGGGGTTTTGTGCCATCTTTCTGTAGAAGTTTGTTGTTTATGAGATTTGTCTCGTCTTACAGGAGCCCTTTTAGTCATTTTCAGATTGGGTTTGAGTCTGTGAAGTTCCTAAACTGTTATTTATCCATGAAGTAGTGTATCGTTCCCTCAGAACTTAATGAGAGTCTAGCTGGATAAAATATTCTTGGTGAGGTGTTTGATTCGTTGACTTTTTTCTCTCTATTCCACCACTTACTCATGCCAGGATGGTTTCATCTGATAAGTCTGCTGTAGATCTAAGGGCTGCTCCTTTGTATGTGATTACCTTCTTTGATATTGCTGCTTGCAGTGTTGTTTCTCTGTATATAGTATTCATCATTTTGATTACTATATGTCTCAGAGTCTTTTTATTAGGGTATCTTTTAGCTGGTATCCTGTGGGCTTCTTGGAGCTTGATGCCTGTATTCTCCACCTCTTGAAAATTTCTAGCAATGATATCTTTAACTGCTACTACCTACTGGATTACCTTCCTATTCCTCTGGGACTTCAATGATCGTTATATTGTTCCTCTTGAATTCATCTCAAAATAGCTGAAGGACAGGTCTCTTAATCGTTTCAGAGGTATTTTTCCGTCTTCTGTTGTTGCCTGTATGCTTTCTGAAATGCATCTTCAAGCTAACTGTTTCTGTCTTCAGCTGTTGTCATTCTGCTGTTGTGGGCACCCACTGAGTTTATTTCATCTATTGATTTTTTTATTATTGACACTTCTGTTTGTAGTTTTCTTATTTCAACTCCCATTTCCTCCTGTATTTTACTAGATATCAACTCCGCTGTTTCTCATGAAACATCCTCACCATTTCATCTCTGAATTCTTTATCAGAAAGATTATGTATTTGGGTATTCCTGCTTCAGGCTACAGGACATTTTTCTTCATCCACTCCTCGTGGTGGGGATCTGTGCTGTTTCCCTGTGATGCTATTGCAGTCTGCAGGTGGATCCTTCCAGTTCACTGTCAGTGTCCCCCTGCTAAAGAGGACTCTGGGTGAGCTCAGTAGATGCTGGTCTCCTCTTTCCCCTTCAAGGATATTACTTTCCCTCATTGGTGCGCCTGTGTGACTTGTGTGGGGCCTCTAGAGCTGATTCAAGGAGATGTGTTCTTTTAGATTAGGTTTGTACAGATTTTTGTGTTCACCATTATTTTGATGACTTTGGGGGTTATATTATTTTGATTTGAATAGGCTGGTGGATTATTGGTCTAATGTGGTTGGGATAGCCAAGAGCCTTCATGAGAGTTTGGTATAGGAGTCTGCAATATGGATCCGATGCACTCTGAAAGGGGAAATTAACTGGTGGCCACATGAGTGGCTGCTGACCCAAAGGCCATGCTCCCTGCTGCTGCCAGTGTACCTTGGGGGGGGGGGGGGCATGTGTTGGCACAGATACTGGGTTACATTTCAAGTCCCACTTCCGGTGTACTTCTAAAAATATGCAGGTGTTCCCTCTCGCTGAGGCCTAGGCAATCATTTGTGTACCTGTGGCCGGGTAGAGGGGCCTTCCTGTTCCCTTATCACTGCCTGGCATGCCAATGGGGCTGGGTCCTTATATCCCTGAGCCTAAGTTTGGGCAGGGAGGATTTTATGGTTTTCCATAATTCTTTGCTGGCAGTCTTCCCTTACCTGACTGTCTTTCTGTTTACTTTTATCTGTAGCTTTATTAATCGAAATAATCCTTTAGGTGATGAACTGAGAAAGGAAAGTTCAGAAAAGCAGTTACTTATTGAGGGAAAAAACTACACTTTCTGTGTAGTCACAATAACCATCTGGTCAGGGGAAAAAAACAGTGAAAAGAAGTAAACACATCACATACAGAAATATTATTATGTATACATATATATAGAGAGAGAGAGCATAATATTACAAATGTAAAGCCTCTTAGAACAGTCTTATCAGGGAAATGAAGGGCTTGAACAACAGTTTTTCGAGATCTGAGAATATCAAAGGCTTCAGTGATTTGATTCACAATAACTAAAAATTTAATCTGTATCTTTAGTAAAAGTGCGATTGTGGAAAATAGAAACCCGGAGTAGTCAGAGATACAAACAAAGCTTCTAGAAAAGATACGAAGCGTGTTTATGGTTTCTGAATGTGACCCTCCTGCCTTGTTTGTTTGCACAAATCCTTGACATATCAAAACATGATTTTTTATTTTGATAGCTGAAATGTTTAGATAATATATCGGTCCTCCTGTTGTTGATCGATTTGCTCAAGCGGGCCCAGTGACATCTCCATCATGAGACTTGTTGTTACTGTGTTTGACATATTGAATATGTCATGGGGAACTTGCCAGGCTTTGCCGGGTGTACGAGATACTCTCGGTAGCTTTCCGGGCTCTCCAAGAGGGGTGGAGAAATCAAACCCGGCTCAACTGGGCCAGTTGCGAGCAAGGCAAACGCCCTACCACTCCCAAGATTGCTATTGCTCCTGAGATTTTTGTTATATACACACAATGCTGAGAGGTATTTATACCATTTCCTGGAGAGTGTAATATACAGCTTTATCAATGTACTAATCACCTCTAGTTCAGAGCTATACTTATCTCCGGTTCCTAACTTTTGAGGGATTTGTTTTGGGGATACACCAGAGCATAAGGGCTATTCCCAGCTCAGTGCTGCGCCTTCAGCAATTCTGCAGGACCACATAGTGCCAAGGATCAGCCTTTGACCTCCTGAATGCAAAGCATGCACTGAGCTCCTTAGACTGTATCTCTCGCCTTCCACGACAAATCTTAATTCAATTTGCATTTGAGATTCAAGAAATGAGGAAGGCAGCTAATTGCTTTATACGTGAATTCTCTTCCCTGAGTTTAACTGTACTAATAGAAGAATAAGTAGGGGTAGGATCTATTGGATAAGTCCCCCAAACCAATGTAGATAAATTAGTGAATTAAACCATAATAAAAATCCACACCATTTAAAACGTTACTGTATCATTGAAATATCAGATTATCTTACTATATTTCTACTTTTGATAACAAAGTTCATGCAAACAATTTTCATATAATATGCTATAGCATAAACTATCTGTTTCTTTGTTCAGTAAACCCAAAGAAAGAAAAACTCAGCCCCCGGAATCAGAAGAAACCCACAATATAGCAGTCTATCTTAAAAAGGTGCATGGCAATCGCAATTTATACCGACAAGAGGCTTTTGAAGAAAGCATCAGAAAACTACTGACAATCTTAAAGAAATCGTGAGTATTTTAAAATACAGTATATTATGTAATTGAGCCTTATTATTTTTTTTTCAGTTTGTAGAATGCAACAATCAGTGGTGTTGGCAGGGGAAGAGACACAGGTCCAGGATACAAATACTGGGCCTCATATACACCAAGGGATGTACTTTACCACATGTTCACATCTCTGCCCTCTGCCACTCCTTAAAAACAATCTTTTAAATACCTTTTTAACATATTGTTTGCTGTTGAGTTTACCTTAGTTATAATTTAACACCAGTGGTTTATTTCTAAGCTGGAAACACTGGAAACTTTGTCTCTAGATGTATATATTCACCCATTTAATTTTGTGGCTCATGAATATATTGACATCAATTTAATTTTTTTTCTTTTTGGATCATACCCAGAAATGCACAGGAGTCACTCCTGGTTCATGCACTCAGGAATTACTCCTGGCTGTGCTCGGGGGACCATATGGGTTGCTGGGAATCGAATAAAGGTCGGCTGCATGCACGGCAAACGCCCTACCCTCTGTGCTATTGCTCCAGCCCCTACATCAATTTTAAGTTGCAAGCAAAGTAGGCATTATTTATGAATTGTTCCATCTAAATTATGTATAAGATTTTATTAATTGTCAGTTTGTCACAACTTAAACTGTCTTCCCCATCACAGAACCATGAAATAAATGTACACCCCCACAAAGGTGTATAAATGAAATGTTGTCCCCAAAGACAAGATTATATATTTTTTCCTAATGGCTATGATTCCATTGTGGATATATTCTAAATCATAATGCACTCATCATTTTGGTTGGTGTTTGAGTTATGATTTTCTGTTGTTGTGTTGTCTCTGGCTTCTTCTGCTATCAGAGCAAAAGTAATCTGATAAAAAAAATGTGTTTTGAAGAACTTCCTTCCCTTCCATTGTTTGAGTAGAGCTGAAGGACAGATCAATCTTCTCTTTCATTTTTTTTGTTGCTGGTTATGTTAGTGAAGTGATCAGGGTTGCATACATTTTGTTATGGAACTCAATTATACATTGTCCATCAGTAACAGTAACTACTCACATAATAACTCCTAGATGCACCCTTTGTAGTAATTTTAATAAAAAAATAAAGGAAACAGCATTATATGGTTGCAGTGTGTTTACACACTTGTGAGACTTCAAGAGGCTGTACACTTGAGTTTCAGTGCTTGCATCTACTTGGTTACGGTGTGCTACATACTGTGTACTTTACAGTATGTAAATGAGACCCATTGTATTTACTTGTCTTGGCATATCGAATACACCATAAACAGCTTGCCAGGCTCTGCTGTGCAGGCGGGATACTCTTGGTAGCTTGCCAGGCTCTCCAAGAGGGATAGAGGTTTTTAGGGCGGCCTCTAATCACCCTTGCAGGTGTTCCCATGGTTCAAACCATATTTGAACCCTATCAAATATGGTGTGGCAATCTTGGAAGATGGGTATTAAGTATCTTATGATGTGTCCAGAATGTGTCCACGAGCGTGGTGGTGGCTGCATAGTGGAAGTAGTGGAGGTAGTGGAGGTCTGCTGATGAGGTATTTTTCTGATACTGTAGGATGGATCCTCCGTGTGTAATCCCTGGGTCGCTGGCTCTTCGTGGAAGCAGACAGGGCTGGGTAGGATGGGGCTCCTTGTTTTAATTCCTTGATCACCTGAGATTGGTGGGAGCAGGCAGAGGATCTCTGTTCCCATATCCATTGAGTGAACCTGGAGTCCAAGGTTTCAGAGTTCTGCTTACCTGGTTCTGTGGGGCTTCACTCATGAGTGAGTCTTGGCCTGAGCGTCCGGAAAGCTGGGTAGTGGAGGTAGGGGAGGTATTGACAAGGACAAATCATCTAATGCTCATATTTTCTGTATTTGGTTGCATTTCTTATAATGCCACCAGAATTACTTGGGTAAAAGTAGGTTTTCTCTATAAATGACTAATATTTAAAAACAAACACAAAAAGGGTGCATGTATATTTGTAGGGATTGTGGAAAGGGTAGGAACAGAGACAAATCTACAAATGAGGTGTGAAAAGCAATTTAAGATCCTTTGAAAAAACTTGGCCTAGTTGGGTTCCCCCCCCCGTTTTAATTTCTCCAATTAAAGATGTTTCCTTTGAGCGAATGAGGCGTATGAAAATCATTTTGTTTCAGTGAAGCAGTGATGCAGAGTATCTTCCAAGGAATGACTCAAAGGGTTTGCTCTTCAGAAGGACTCATCAGGAGTTTGGCGGTTTAGATTGGGACTGTTTAAACTCCAAAGCTGATATGAACTTTAACCCCTTTTCTTCTGGAAGAAAATGCCACGAGGAATTGCAGTCTCAATCGATTTTCAATGTCCATATGCTGATGAGTGAAAAACATTTTGTGAGGTTAGAAGTTCTCTTACAAATAGTTTTGATAAAAACAGATAAATTTGAGGTGGGTGGAATTCCTCTCTCCCCGAGAGAAGGAAATCAATCGAAGCTAAAAGAAACACAGGTTAATAGAAAATGTTGTGAATAGAAGAAGTAATTTAGATTTCTAAAATAGAAACAGTGATTATTAGTGCTCTAAGAGTGGGAACCAGGTTTCAGAAAAGAGCTAAGAGGTAGTGTGTTTTTCCTGGAGGCAGGAGGCCCTGAGTTTGATTTCTGTCACTGCTCCAATTGCTCAATTGTCAGGAGCATGACCTTTGTGTGATGTCCAGGCAACAACTAAAGTATGCAATATTTGGTTCATGGTGGTCAAATATGTGCAAGCACCACAAGTTGTGCAACCCCCCAGCCATTGAAACAACAGTAACAACAACAAATCGGAGAGCCCGGCAAGCTACCGAGAGTATTCGATATGCCAGACACAAACAACAAATGAGAAAAATGGGAAATTTTTTAAAAAATAAGCAACAGGAACTATGGCACTTTTTAAAAATATGGCACTTTTTTTTAAAAATACGGCACTTTTTAAAAAATATGGCACTTTTAAAAAAATATGGCACTTTTTAAAAAATCTTAGGGCTGGGACGAAGGAGACATTACTGGGGCCTGCTCGAGGCAATTGACGAACAACAGGATGGTCATGATCGTGATCATGAACGGGAACTAAAGTTATTTTTAAAAAGTGCACATTTAAAGCAAGGGACAGAAATTGACAGAAAAGTTGACTCATACATTTGAAGTATGAAGATATGAATGAAAATTCTGGCATATATGTGCATGCACCACACACACACACATACACACACACACGAAGATTGGTATTGAATCTGTGTCTACGTATGGGAATGAGAATATAAGTTACAATTAGGATAAACTTGAACAAATTTCTACCTCTTTGCTATTTCATTACCTATAAAATGGGCATTAATTCTAATTTCTTGGGATTATTGATGTTGTAAAATCTAATGGAATTAGAAATGAAATATTACCAGGGATACTACTTGGCTCACGAAGGTCTTTTACATTGTTTACCAAGTTACCTTTTTCCAAAAAAATAGCATACATCTTGATAGAATGTTTTTAATTAAAAAAACTGTAATTTCACTATAGTTCAAATGTGTTTGTTTGTATCTTAGAATATCAATATGTCTATTGTATTCCTCTAGGAAAAATGGGAATTTCTCTTATGGCATAGTAACAAAAAATATTGATTAACTATTTATCATTATTTGCATTATTTAAGTTTTATATTGCAGTTTAACAATTATGTGGCCACAAATTAGTTATTATTTATAAAACTATACTTTTATTAAAATTATTCTTATCTTTATATTTTTGGTTTATGCGTCACAGTCAATTATATTCAGGAATTACTCCTGGATCTGTGCTCAGCGGTCACTCCTGGCAGTGCTCGTGGGACCATATGTGGTATTGGGGATCAATCCCAGATAGATCATATGAAAGACAAGTGCACTGAATTCTGTACTCTCTCTCTGACTCCAGAAAATTATGCCTTTATATATGTAATACTACTTGGAAATAAACAAATGCATTTTATTATTATATTTCTTAAAATTTTTCACTGTTATGTTTTATTCCATCTGGATTTCTGTGACAAAATACCACATTTGGTCTTTAGGCTTCCTAAAGTGTTCACTGTGAATCTTCCATCAGTAATAATTATTTATTTTTCATCTGCTATCCTCAGTATGATTATGCATACAAAATTGAGTTAATATAGTTATCAGTAAAATAGTCTGTCAGAGAGAGCATGACTTGGGAGAGAAGCAAAATCTTACACAATTCAGGTCCTTGACAACAAAATATCACAAACTGGGTAGTGTACCTACAATATGCATTTGTTTTCCATGGTTTTGTGGACTCAGAAATCCAATGTGAGGTACAGGCAGATTTGGTGGATTTTTTGGGGGAGGGGTCACACCTGGTGATGCATAGGGGTTATTCTTGTCTCTGTGCTCAGGAATTACCCCAGGTGGTGCTCAGGGGGAACATATGGGATACTGGGAATCGAACCCAGGTTGGCCACGTGCAAGGCAAACACCCTACCCACTGTATTATTGGTCAAGCCCACAGATTTGGTTTCTACGAAGGCACAATTTCTAATTTATGGATATTGATAGTTTTACAGTGTTTTTACCTGGTGGAAAGGAAGAAATAGTATTCTATGGCCTTTGGGGAGGACTTATTTAAACCTAACTTACACCCAAAGTTAATATTTTTCTTTTCCCATTATTTTACTAAGTCTTTGCTATAAATTTTGTTTTTACTGCATTTGATTTATTCGTGTAATAGAAACCACACATCTTGTTCTGAGATAAGAATGGAATAATTCTAATACGCGTCTTCATATGGTGTATTGCTGATCTAATGACGAAGCTGAATAATCCATCTTCGAAACATATTTCTTGAAGCAATTTCTAAAATTATAAAAAAATGCAAATTTTTATTAACAATCTTAATGCCCACCTTGCAAAGATTATTACTTGCTTTCTGAGTGTTATTTATTTTTACAGACCATTAAAGTCATCTTGAAAGCTAGTTCTAGCTTATCAAGCTTAGTTTCAATATATT